TAGGCCCATAGCCTCCTGAATTAGTACCTCTTTATCCGTACAGCAGAACATACAAAGCCAATGCGAGTTAGGCTTCGAGCATCTTTTGTAAGACGTCAGACTTAGGCGTGTACACATTTTGTGGTACCACTTTTTACAGTCGTCACATTGCATTCCCTCCTCCACGGGGAACAAACAATTTGGTTGTCCACATTTGTGGGTCTTACCAACCATTGTAATTCGATTTAAAAAGTTTAAAAACATAAAATGATCACAATCTGAACGCAAGTGTTAGTCAGGCGTAAAAAAAGGTACCCAGTATAAAATTTAGCAAAAAGGCGACGTCTTTTCTATCTAGAACCATTTGAGAAAGAAAGGACATGGTATTTTACTATGTTTATAAAATTTATTTGATGTACATATAGCCATGTGTTCAGTATTCAGTTGTCTGTCATTACCTTCAAAACTCATGGAGTCCCTGATATGCGACGGCTTAAATGACTATCTACTGTCCTTAAATTTCTTCTCACCCCAACAGCATGGTTTCAGGAAGGGTTACTCTTGTATAACCAACCTGCTGACTGCGGTGGACAAATGGACAAGCATCCTCGATTGCAAGGGAAAGGTTGACGTCATTTACCTTGATTTCTCAAAAGCTTTTGATAAGGTTAACCACTTGTGTCTTATCAACAAGCTCAAACGACTAGGTATCAAACCACCTCTAATCGATTGGCTTACTTCATACCTAAAAAAATCGACACTTTAAGGTTAGGGTTAATTCCACTTTATCTCAGGCTATGGAATGTCCTAGTGGGGTCCCCCAGGGCTCAGTACTAGGGCCTCTTCTCTTCTTGATCTACATAAATGATCTTCCTCAACAGGTAACGTCAGACTTACTACTTTTTGCCGACGACGTGAAACTTTGGAGAGAGATACGCAACCAAGACGATACACAGGCACTTCAGGAGGATCTGACGCGACTTCAAAGTTGGGCAGACGATAACGGACTTACCTTTAACACTTCAAAGTGTAAAGTAGTCCATCTGCGACATGTCGCAAACTACAGTTACAACTTAGGAAACTCCTCTCTAGTAGTATCCCAAGTCGAAAAAGACTTAGGAGTCCTGGTGCCCCATGACTTAAAGTCTTACGCTAACTGTGACAACAATGCCTTCCGAGCAAACCTTGCACTGGTAACGTTGAAGCGCATTTTTGGCCAGTTTGACGGAAGAACTTTCCACACAATCTTCAATAGTTTCATCCGTCCCCATTTAGAGTACGGAAACATAGTACTCCCCCCCTCACTCCATAAGGACAAAGTCACTTTGGAGCGTATCCAACGGCGAGCCACGAAATCAGTTCGAGGACTCAAATCTAAGCCTTACGAAGAACGCCTCCGTTCACTAGACCTTTACCCACTAGAATATAGGCGTCTTAGAGGTGATTTACTAATGGCTTATAGCATTCTTAACACTTCTGGACATCCTCTTAAACACCTACTTAAGCTCAGTTCGAATAATAACCTAAGGGGTAACACCCAGAAACTGGAAACACAACATAGCAAGACGGAATGTAGACACAACTTCTACTCCTTAAGAGTTGTCAAAAGCTGTAATTCGCTGCCGGCCGAGCTAGTCCAAGCGACTTCTCAGGAGTCCTTCAAGAGGCAACTTGACCTATTCTTAAGGACCAAGGACAGTGTAGATCACCAACGTAGATGATCTATGTCGAAATGATTGGAGGCCTACTCGAGTTAGACGTGAATAGTGTGACGAACCAACTAACGTCGAAGTCACACCTCGTGGTCAGCACCTTACGTGGACTACCCCCATTGACGTAACAAGGTACTATAAATGCTTTGAAGACTGTACAACACAAAGGACGTTATTACAGAAATATATTAATTAAAGTAGATACAAGCGAAAGTAAGACCACTGCCGCATGGGCCAGTCCATGGCGTATGATTAACTAATGCGCGTTTCTTGTACATGACCTTGGCAGGGAACGATGACCTGTTCGACATTCAGTGATCCAACTGCCGGATGATTTGGCTAGGGCTCAGTGACATTTCACTGGCCCTACAATACTCCCCCACCAGATTCAGCGGCCGTTTGAATCGGTACCAAACATGTTGGGAGCAGTCGCACGCCGGAGAGTGCCAGACGAATATTATAAATCCTCCAGGTATTGCTTATCTGTAAAACAAATGGAAAGGAGGCGGCAGAAACTGGTCGCGAAACAGCGAGTCATAATATGTTAGTAGGACGTTGCTTAAACGTAAATTGATTAACCATAGAAATAATGAAAAGAACAAAACGTTTAACTGTTCTATCAAGTCGCGCTGAAATATATAGCTTTGACAAGCAATTCAGTTCCTCCGATGACGAACGTTAAGTCTGCCGCAAGAGTAATGATGCTATAGCTACTGTCATTAGTTTAAAGTTGTAAGTCGGACAGTGTCGTTGACAGCTATTAATTAGTGTCGAATTCTAGTTATATCTATATCTAACAGACTAACCGTAAGTACAGAAGTATAACAGTGAAGAGTGGTCGTTATTTCGTTGTGCGAAGCTATTGACCAACTTGTAGTCACAGTTTGAAAAGTCGATGACTGCTGTTACAGTCAGTAAGGGTTGAAGGCTACAAATCGACAGCAAAAGTGGCACGATGAAGTCTCTAAAAGATGATAAACGGTGAATGCTGCGTGATTGTTCGGTTAGTGAACAGAAAAATATCGAAAAGAACATAAGAAACCAAGAGTGTCACTCTGGACTCATGTCAATGATACCCGTGAAAAACGCTGTCAGTGTTGGGATAGAGGCGACAATATCGTTTTCAGTTTGCAGGAGATTCGCTCGACTGCATAAACTGATGATTCGCGCGAATGATATTGTCGTCAGACCACCAATTGAACTGGACAGGTTGTAAATCGTCGAGTAGTTGAACAGCCTATTGATGTACCGGAATCATCTGTTAATTAACAGCCACGAGGAAACAATACTTCATAAAATGAAGTACGACATCGAAGTAGAACAACTACAATAGTTCAGATGTGTTACAATGTCAAGTCTAAATAACATCGTTCTTACGTATACTGACAGTTGCACTGAACGTTCGTTTAGGTATGATTAGCGTAACAGTTGGATGTGTGAATAAAAACATATACGAAAACTATGGTTGGGTTCGTGGGGAATTGTCGAGGACGTTTAGATATTTTCCAAACCCGTATGGCATGTAAATAAACCGAAAATAGAATTGAAATGACTGTCGTGTAATAAGGAAATCGAGCCATGATTTGCCGTGTGAATTAATAGCAAATACAAAGGGTATAATAAACATTAATTAAAATGGTAACCACCAATGTAACTAAGGTTTAGAGGGTCCACGTAACGTGGCCGTTTCGTAAAAGGCTGATACAAAGAGCTTATTACCTAGCGTTAAGTGACATATTAAGTACGACAACGTGTGTACTTGGGACATGGACTAAGCGTGCTCGTGTACATGCAATATGTTTTACCACAGTATGTCGACTAACGAGTCATAAATGTACATGATTTCGACTAAAACTTGACGGCAGTGACAGAATATATGACTGGTTTACGTGAAAACAACTACGAAATGTTATCACGCATCATAAATATAGTGCGAAATAATCTAATGAAATTATGAAACTTGCCTGGGTTACTCTTGCCTCTAAGTAATGAAGATATGAAGTAGGCAGTAGTTTGAATCTGGATTGTGTACGAGGTACTGTTGATTAAATTTTTCGATTAACACAGCATTGTAGACTGAATCGGTATAAGTCCAGAATTAATTTAAGCCGAATACATAGCATTACTCTGACGAACAGTCTAAACGAGATCTAAGATCGCAGGAAATTTATAGTTCAAACTCACCGTGAATTTCTAGCATCCGTATCCTCTGTTTGGCCATGGAACTCAGCAATTGGAAATTAGGCAGGCAGTGGTAAAAAAAAGCAGAACATTCTAGTGGATAATGGTTAAGCAGAAAGATGAATTTATAGTCGATAGTTAATCTTGTCTTATTTATACCAGTGGATAAGGTACAAAGAGATATGCGTTCGTGTTGCCTTGTGGCTATACTCACGAGTGGTTGATATTTTAACAGACATATTACACAGGAGCATTTACATGCTGCTAATGCTTGTTAAAGAACCACGATAGCCGATTATAATCGTAGTTGATTGGTTAGTTCTGTCGATTGAACGAATTATCTAGGTTTAAATGCTAATCAACATTGACATGAAGCAACGAAAGTTCACAGTAACAGATTAACATAGGCGATGATAAAAATGAAAAAGAATAAGTATAGAGTACAATAATAAAGATTATAGTGATAGGTTGCGTTATTCGAAGTCTTGCTCACCAGTGTAGATCACCAACGTAGATGATCTATGTCGAAATGATTGGAGGCCGACTCGAGTTAGACGTGAATAGTGTGACGAACCAACTAACGTCGAAGTCACACCTCGTGGTCAGCACCTTACGTGGACTACCCCCATTGACGTAACAAGGTACTATAAATGCTTTGAAGACTGTACAACACAAAGGACGTTATTACAGAAATATATTAATTAAAGTAGATACAAGCGAAAGTAAGACCACTGCCGCATGGGCCAGTCCATGGCGTATGATTAACTAATGCGCGTTTCTTGTACATGACCTTGGCAGGGAACGATGACCTGTTCGACATTCAGTGATCCAACTGCCGGATGATTTGGCTAGGGCTCAGTGACATTTCACTGGCCCTACAACAGCATCACATTATGATTTACCAATTTCTTTTCCTTTTTTATTGTTAACATACCTAGGTTCCTGCCTGGAGGATTTGGTGATCCCCTGCTACTAGACACGGAAGCCTGTTAAGCGAAAGCTTCTTCTATTCCGTCCACAACCATTTGAACCATTTATTACGTGCTTTGTTTTACCGTATGCAAATGACCTTATCCCTTCTGATTATTATTTAAGAGTGTGGTAAGTTATCACACGTCTGTTGAGGACATGGCTCTTGGTTGTGGGTATAAGTGTTTGCAATGTTTGCTAGTTATTTTCAATTGTGGAGCATTCGTAAGTTATATCCTACGTTTTGGTGAGATAAGTAGATATGTGGTCTCGGGCTGATTGTGGTTGGTGCACTTGGGCTCCATTCTGTTGTAAATCACTGGAAAGACATTGAACCTCCATTACAATCGCTTATTATCTTTATTATTGTCCTCGGATGCTTCTTATTTGTTTTGGGGGCCTTAGGAATGTTTGGCGCCTGCACGAAGAATGTGTGTTTATTAACAACGGTAACGAAAACTATGGAAACTTATTATGTCCATATAGTATTGTATTCTTTTATCAATTTTGATAGTTGCCGAAATAGCAGCAGGAATATTTGCTATAGTAGAAAAGCCAAAGGTAAGAGTTAACTGGCAAACTCGATTGTTATAGGTCAAAAAACACGTCACTGATGCATTAAGAGAATTCGTAAAAGAGTACTCTCACGACGAACATGTTAGCAAAGTTCTTGATGAAGTTCAACAGAAAGTGAGATGCAATTCCCATCATACATTTTTATTTAGTTACAATGCTGTGGTGCTGATTCTCCAAAAGATTATGTCACTCCACCGCCGGAATCCTGTTTCAAAGATGGCCAAATATTTAAAGAGGTAGATTTATGTTTTTTGCTTGATTTGTGATATTTGTGGTTCACTTTTAAGTATTTAACAAGGTCGAGGAATAAAAGTTATAGCAGAATAAAAACAAGCAAACACCAAGTGTTCACATAAAAAAATTACGGTAATTATAACACTGAATCAAATACGAATTTGATAATATACCGGAAAATAGTTCAAGAAATATCATAAACCATATTAGTTAAAAATAAATTTTAACCAGTTTTCCACAGGGAGACGCTCATTCATGTTAGTAACAAAAATACGACTGACTATTAAGTGACCAACACTAAACAATCGGTTAGCCTAATAACTCACATGAGAAAAACCACCTCAAACCAAAACTTTCAGTATTTTTCGTTGAAGGCAACGAGTTTATAACACATCTACCCCTTCCTAGAACTAATTCACATGTTTGTGGTGTCAATTCTACTTAAGTCAATCGAAGCTGGAGGCACCGAATATTCTTATACCATGTTCCAGGATTTGTTATCTCTATGGAGAACCTAGTATTTATCTGGCTTTCGAAATAACCCTATTATATGACGTTTGTAGGGTTGGTTGATGGGGAAAAAAGGAAGGTAATACGTTGTTAAATAATTTCCAATTATAAGTCACAATTAAGCCACCTCCTCATGTATAGTAGATGAATGTGAGGATTTTTTGCTTTTCACTGACTAACTTGGAACTTCGGTAATTGTACGTAAACCAGTCTTTTGGACCATTTTTGAATAAAACCCCAACATGTCTTTTGAAGGTAAGCATTCAAAATTCATGTAGTTTTCTTATTTGGATCTGTATGCCACTCTGCAAAGCGTGATATGGACGCTTTCCTCTTTGTTTCTGAATTTTATCATCACCCATAATGCTTTGAAATCTTTATATAAAGTTAAATTATGGTGGGTAGTGGTTTTGAAGTCACAGTTTGCCACGACTAATAAATTACTATGATCAGGAAGAACTAGTGGGGATTTGCAACTATTTTTGTAATTATTGTCATCTGTACGAATATGCACCAAACTAGACTGTTAAGATTTTGACGTGTCTCTGAACAGTTAAGTAATGTGTTGAAAACTTTCCATACAGCCTAAACACCAGAACAAATATCTAATTCCCGACATGTTTAACTATCATCTGCTTGATGCAGTATACCAGTTTATTATTGCACTAGGAAACTCGACAATCCTAAGCATAACTATTATTATTTCATTATTCTTCTTCGTTTTAGGGATGCGTTAAAAAGGTCAGTGATCTAAGCAAAATGCACCTCAATGCTATCATAATTAGCGTATTTCTGTTCTCATTGGTCCAAATGATTTGTCTGGTATTTGCGGTATGTGTTCTATTGGCTGTAAAGCGCGGTGATGATGAATAGAATAACAGGACGAAAACGATTAGTGAAAAAATAGACAGGAGTAAGAGCAACCACTAAAAATTTAGCAAACAACACCCTAATTTTTAACACAGCCGAAAAATATTTACTCAGTATTTTTATATACAATGGATTGTATCTTACATAAGGAATTTTCGACTTTGTGTTTCATCTCTTTCAATAAACTCTTTAAACCGTATTCAATGTGAAGTTAGTAAATTTATGGCTGTGTTTTTAACAGAACAATTCAATTATTCTTCGAGTTGCCTCCTACAATATATATATATATATAATCCTGGGGTAGACTAGAAGTGGTTTTCATGTCATAGTTCATTGTTGCAGTTTATTGAAAATTTCCCTTCGTATGAAACAATAGGTTTTTGACACCGGGGTTATAAACTAATGTAATCTACTGACCGTCTAATGATTTAGAAAGCTGTGAACTACCGCATATATACAACCAACGAACTATAAGAATTTAAATTGGTATGTATGTAGAGACTTGTTGGGGAAACTATCTACAACAGTGGGGGTACTGCTATTCGAGAGTTACGCATACAGTTATCAAATGAGAAGCGAAAGTTTTCCAGAGCGTCTAGATGGTTTAGTGAATAATTTGCCTCTTTGTGAATTCTAGTATGCGTTCAAGCAGATAAGTTACCACCGCATTCTTAATTATCATTCTTCATGTCAATACTAGGTGTCAAGTGAATTTAAATTTATTATTATTGAAAAATTTAAACGAAAATATACCTGGAGAATTCCTGCTTAAAATGGGACTAAGTTCATAGGAATCCGCTTGAATATGCATGAGCTACACGATGACGTGTAGCGATTCGGTGTCTCGGTTGGACTTCGCCACGTCAATGTATCAAAACACAGTTAAGTTTTCACCAACAGTATTGTACAACTAAGTTTGTTTTCATATAGATTTTGCACCTTTAAACTTGAATGAAGGAAGAACAACGACCAAAGCAGAAGAATTCGAATTTATTTACTCTTTAGATTACGTTCATTTGCTTATACTTTAAAAATAATAGTGTTAATTATTTAACGACAAATTAGTTCATATGCTCTTCATTAGACAAGTGCTCATCACCAACATTTTATACAAAGAATGATACGTATGAAAAAATGTTTTTAGGCGATATTCATATGGTTGATGATGAATGTCAAAATTCTATAGAGAATATGGATATGGAAAAAGGCTGATGAGAAAATGTAATGTAAAAGTTACATAGTAACAACTTCAGAAGAGAATTACTCATATGGTTGAGATGAGCAAAGCTCAAATCAGACCCAATAAAACGAATCAGTAGTCGCATAGACAAAATGAGATAATAAAAAAACTGAGGTAATCTTGTCATCGAAAAAATAACAGCTTCACTTTGAATGGATACATCCGATCCAAGACCTTCGATAACTATGGGTTTGGTAGAACTCTAGAAGTCCCATCCCTGTCGCCACTTTTTATAACTTGTAACCGCTGATCAGAGGGCAGTGACTTATCGATCGGACCAATGACGCGTAAATCCGTATGAGCAGCCTAGAGTCCTGATTGGTCCTGCTTTCCGCCTAGCCCAGGCAGTTAAGTCCAGAACACCAATCCGAGCCTTTGAGATATGAATCGTTATATTTCAAACATGCTGTGTTTATATACCAGTCAAACAGACCAAAACGTACTAATAAAATATGAAACAGCATTTGTACAAGAATTACCTAGATGTGGCTGTGAACGAGGGAGGTAGTAATTAATATACTGGGTATAACTCAAGAATGGTAAAACGTATACTAATGTTTCATAGGTCAAAATAAAGCTTATAATAAGAGGAATATGAATATGCATAGTTTAGTTACTTAATAATTATACAACAGAAACATGCGTTTAGTACTGGTCCATAAATGGATCCCAAAAGTTACCATTCATTATTCTAGTCGAGACATAACAGAGCCACTACCTAATTAATAATTTAGGGATTCCAGCACCGTGTTTTTTATCATGCAGATGACGGTAAATTTTAATGTTAATGTCATGTTGACCACTTGGGGTTAGATGAACGATAACTCACCTTTCTGTTGTTTTGACTTGTGATTCAAAACATACATTTAAACTGGCAAACAAATATAGAGGTAAAACGAGATGAGTATTTGTTTAGCTTTCAGTATCTCAATGAACGATTTGTTTATTATAGTGAGATAAGTCTTGTTTCACTGCGTAAGTTCTTAGTAATGCAGACCATAGTTTTCAGTCAATTGTCCCGGCTATCTGTTCATTTGTGGATCCGAATCGCAAAATATCTGTCTTTAGAAATGCGTGTTTATTGACTAGAACTGAAAAGAATTGCTTTGACGATAAAAGTAGCTGGAATAGTACCCAACGGTTATGTTTACGTAAATAATCTGTTCAATCGACTTCTGACGGATCTCACTGAATGCTAAAAAGCGAATTCTTGGAGTAAATGTTTGGTTGAAATTCTGTGTAACTCACATTAACAAAAGAACTCACCCAGTCGTTAATGAACAAAGATGGTTAAACGAACCACACATTATTCGACTATATCGTTATTTAAACTGTATAGTCGTACTGAAAGTCAGTTTTCCATTGTCTAGTCTATCACAACAGAGAGGAATGCTGAATTATTTAAGTTTCCAAAAATAACGAAACATTTCAAATATTGAATATAATCTTTATAGTTGATTTGAAGGTAATAAGACACTAATTTGTGGAAGAAATATTTAAAAATGGTTGTTTACTTTAAGAATAAAAGGAACGCAAATTATAAGACAATGATTTGCGTAAGCAGTTTGTGAAGCTACAGGGAGTCTTATGAAACCTTGGAATTAATTAACTTTATCCACTAACTTATTTTAACATTACCATTAGTTGTCTAAAGACGTAATAACAGTTGTACTTCTTTGGTCACAGAGGTCCTCAGATTAAGGATTGATTACCTAATCAGGCACTCGTGTCATACACACAGGAGAGTTAAACTGAGATGAAAGTTCCTACTGTTTGTCATCAAAAAGTACGACAGAAGATTTACCAGTCACATATTTGTTGAGGCTGATAGGAAACAAACTAACATGAATATCGTCACCAAAAGAATTTCTTAGCTTAAGCCTTACCATTTCTTTCATTGTTACGACAGTACCATAGATATTCAAGAATTTTACGTAATTTTTAAAACATCTCTGTTGATACAGATGATAGATAAATATGGAGTTTGATTAGTTTATTCAAATTTTCACGACAAGTCTTTAGACGTGATTTATTACGTCGAAAAAGATTTGAGAAATTCGATTGAAGTTTATTAGAATGTAAAGCTGTATAATTACTTGAAAAATTTGTGGTTTGTCAAACAAGATGTGTAAAAATTAAGCTTAACTCGCTGGGATACTACTTTTCACTTAAGATTAACAGGTTTATTTATCAACTTAAATATATAAAAAACTCACATGCGGAGAAATAATCATGGTTTGTAGATTAGGAGGGTTGAATAAGCACCGAAATTGCTGAAAAACTAGATATATTCAAGTGGCTCAATAGGAACAGATTACAAAAGCCCATCATTCCCCACTCCCTATCATACAGTCGAAATAAGACACAAAATAGGTGTTAATTTAGTCTTTGTGGCCATCTGTAAAAGTACCCGAACCCTAGTACTCAGGTTTGTTAATGTTTCAGACATACGAGCGTTCAAATTCCCATGTTTGATAAAAACAATTTTGCATTAAAATGAAACCTACCGTGTCAATTTTCATTTGTTCTACACAATGATGTGGCAACATTTCGCTTTTCCTACTATCGGCTTTTACTATCTTCCTCACTACCTTACAATTTGTTCAACTGGTCCTGTTTTTGATACATAGAATTCTTAACAAGTAAATCTGTGATTACATTGTTTGGTGTGCCTTTGTAGTAGGCCCATTCAACTATTGTTTTTTATCTGCTCACTGTAATATAGACACGTAATCCATTATGTAAATTTCTGTGTGAGTATGATTGAGCACATTTCCGCTTATCAATCTTTAATCTATTCTCCCATTGGTTGTAATACACAGACAATCAATAATTTATCCATACTTGATTAACACTCATAAATATATATGAATCTTTTTGGTGGAGTTTTGTTCTCTGAGCTGGATGGTTTGGTCGTGGAGCTTTCATCGTTCTTCTGAACGACATCATCAGCACAAACTTCAGATAGAAGTGAAGTGTTCGAATTTCTCCATATGTGTTTCACAGCTTGTTCTGTGCACCTCGATGTTGAATGGTTCTTGTTGAAAGCTCCACGACCAAACCATCCAGCTCAGAGAACAAAACTCCACCAAAATCATCCACCTGAGCTACAAGTCTTCTCCACCATCTCAAAATATATGAATTTTTAAAACGCACGCACAAACATAAACACACACTCTTGTTTTCTATGTGTGCTTGGTTCCTGTACGCTTGCAAATTTTACCAATCTGTAGTTAGGTTTTCAGTCGAGCTTGATCTACTCATATTGATCGTTGATAAACACCATCAACTGGCTGAAATTTCTTAATACAATGAGGTACATGGTAGCCATAAATTAAGATCTTTCACGATTTCTTAATCTTGTAAAAGTTTCAAGATTGGAAACATGGTGTCAGTTGATTGTAATCTTAATGCAATTCGATAAGAGGAATGCTGAGTCAAAGCAACTTTAGATTTTTCGAGTAATGTTTCCCGATGTATGTGAGCCATATTCGTCATTTAAACATAAAAAGTAACGTTGAATTAGTTATTGCTGTTGCATCAACGTTGACACGGTACAAACTTTAATTTCTAATCAAGATTTTGATTTTGCAATAGCCTAGTAGTTTAATATGGAGGTGATTGTATATTTTCTGACATCATTTTTTGACAAAAGTAAAAGGAGTTTTATTGTGAATAAGTTTGACGTAAGAAAATTAATTGTTAAATGCATTTAAAAACAATATTCATGTGACTGTATCTCTGTTTTATGTTTTCCTGATACGTCATGTTACTATCAATAATTGCTACCTTTAGTTAACATATTGATTTCAATATACGTACAAATTATTTATAATACTAACTAGAAATCATTAATAAATATACATTATCTGCAATGAATACATGATAGTATTACTGAAATGTCTGTAAATTATAGATAGGGTCTGAAATTTTTAAAAAATGAAAGCATCAGGGTTAAATCATTGATTAGCACATTTTGTTGCACGTATTCAATGTTGACAAAACCAGTCATTGTTAGTATTTTTATTGCTGCTAAGGATTCCTTGATATTACCTTGAATTTGCAAGTTGATTAATATCAGTTCGTTGAAATATATTCAACGACGTGTAACTAAATTGTAATACCAAGTTAAACTACTTAAGACGTACATGTATTATTAAAGACTAAACAGTTGCATAGCTTAGCATAGCGAATATTCAAGTCTTCTCAAATAATTTTGTCAAGATCAGAAATTGCAGTTGATTGGTAATTTTTTTGTAAAAAAGAAACTTGAAGATAAGCTTTGTGAACGACCCTTAACTAGTTTTCAGCCAAAGCTTAAAGTGAAATCCCGTGTGATTATGATGTCTATATGTGTAGCGTTCATCTACTCAATAAATGGAAAACTGCTAGACATCGTACATATATTGTACATTGTGAAGTACATCCTCTACAAACTCAAGGATGCGTATCCTATCCCATATTAGCTATAGCGAAGGGACGAATTTCTCATTTGTTCATGTACATTACTTCTGGCAAGCTACTTTACATAGCCGTGTTTCGAAAGAGAACAGACGACATGAATACCGCTTTCATGGCTGGTGATATTGATTTTATTTTAATTAAAACTATATTTGGGTGCGAAAAAAGAGTTTAACACAAATAAATATCTTAAAGTTCACTGTAAGATGAAATGTTAAAGGCAAGTAATAAAAAGGAATAAATAGTTGGTTAAGAATTCTAACTATAAACTTTGTGAAGGAGCCATATAATGAGACGGCAAAAATATCACTAGCATGTTAATTACAGAACTAGTAGTTTCCCTGAGTTTATATCTTTGCAAATAACCTTTAATGGTATACATGAGTGTGTTGAAATGAACACTTATTAGGATGTCATTTGAAGGCAAATTATAAAGACTATAATTTAGCTAACATGCTTTTAGAACAGAAAACGCGTGAATAAGCTATAGGAAACATTCAGTTTTATTTTG